GTGGACCACACATTGCATAGAGGAAAGTGACATAAAATCAAGGTGGAAACATACATTAGGCCAGATCGTGAAGAGTCTAAATAGTTTAGGCATTCATTCCTCTAAGAAGCCTGGAGCCAGCAGAAGTTCTCAGATGGAGGGGGTCCATACGGCTACATCTGTGAGGTTTGCCCTGCACAGGGACTCCTCCCTGGGAGCTGAACTCCAGGCCAAGCTCTGCTTGCAAACCATTCACCTTGTTCTGCTGCTTGAGTGCAAAGAAGATCGTTTCTGTAATTCATCATGCCCCTTTTCCTGTGGATGCACCTGAGGGGTTGCTTTTTTTATTGGCTAACAGTCACTCTGAGTGGAGTGACGATCAGACAGATAGGCTTTTCAGGGTAACCTCTCTGGCCATGGTATAGAAGATGACCTAGACACAGTATGAGGAGACACAGTAAGCAGGGAGAGCAGAACGGTTATCCACATAACAAGGACCTGACCAAAGGTAGCAAGCAGCCAAAAAGAAGGAAGGGAGGCCAGATCCAGAAGAAAGCTCTAGAGAATTAATACTGAGTGTCTTTATGGACGTAGGGACAGCAGAAAAGGGAAAAGTTGAAGATGACTTGGATTGGTTCTCCACTGTGTCCCTAGACCTGCCCACCATTAATGCTCAAGTCACATTTGTAAAATGAAGAAAAACAATAAAGCTGCAAGCAACAAAGATATTCACAAGACAGAGATACTGTTCACTTGGACGGAACTCTATTTCTAGAAAACAGTTAGGCCTCCTAAACCCTGAGTGAGTTGTAGAGTTCAGAGCCCTCACCTGGGAATTCAGGGTTGCTCCTGTGCCATGGTTCTAAGCCTTGCCTGAACATTCAAATCACCGGAGAAGGTTTTAAACATCCCAGTATCCATACTGGACCAATCAACTCAGGCACTCTGAGGATGAGACCCAGACATCAATATTCCATAAAGCTCCTGAGATGACTCCAATACAGAGTCAACTGCTCCCATAGAGCTTTGCAGCCCCTGTTCTAGGTTCCCAGACACGGTCATTAACACAGCATCGGCAAGAGCAGGGTCAGAGACGGGGCAGAATAGTTGAACATATTTGACCATCTTGTCACAATGATTCCTCCATGTCTTATGAAATCTTTGTACATAGTGACCACTTGTTCAAAATTAATTCCAACATCTTGGCAAAAGATGAAAAAATTAAAGAAATCCATTACATTGTTTCACAAATGTTAGGAAACTGAATCATAGACAAAAATGTGGTGCAATGTGGGGCCCCTTTTAAAATCATAGTTTAAAAAAATCAATAATTTGCATGTTTGGAAATTATTTTATGACCTCCTGATTTGCTGCTAAGGTTATATGTGTTCCAGGTGTCAGAAAGACCAAACACTAAAAAGAAAAGTTTACAAATAATTTAAGTAAGAAAGAGAATATTTTAGTACAGAGTTTTAATGTTGTTCTAATTCTATCATTTTTAACTCAAAATTGACATAAAGGCAAGAAGAGCATTGTTAATCAAAGAGTGGTCTGGGGAAGTGTCCTTCCCAGGACATGGCTGTTTTTTACTAATCCACAATAGATAAGAATTTGAGAGTAAAGGTATAGAAGCTTTTATAGTAATTGAATAATCTATATTGAATCACATAAAATATTGAGCTCCTGTTTTATGCATTTTAGTGTTTTTATTTCCCTTTCCTAGTAATTAATTTTATTTTTTTAATTATAAACACTCAGCAAATTCAAAATTTTAAAAAATTGGTCTTTCACCATGGATAGTTTAGTTTGGGAAGCTAGAGGACCACTATTCCATTTGAACATCAGTGCAAAGGTGAACACAGAATGAAAAAAGTAAATGCAGACAAATTCCTTTTTAGCTTATCTGATTTGAATTTATATTTTAGAGGCCTGTTTCATTTTACCTTATATTGTTGATATGGAAAGTTATTTTCTGCTATAGGCTTATATGCATTGCTTAGAAGCTCTTTAAAAGAAAACAGACTTGGGGTGCCTGGGTCGCTCAGTTGGTTAAGCATCCAGCTCTTGGTTTCAGCTCAGGTCATGATCTCGAGGTTGTGGGATCGAGCCCTGCATCGGACTCTGCACTCAGTGTGGAGTTTGCTTCATATTCTGTCCCTCTCCCTCCCATTCACTCTTTCTCTTTCTCTCAAATAAACAAGAAAACAGACTTATTAGAAAACAGGTGGTAAAAGAATGGTTTAGCAGTATTTGCGCATTTTCTTTTTTTTCCCCCAAGTTTGACTTTAATATATCCAGGTTTGAAATTTTTTTTTATATAGGTCGAGCATAATGAGCACTCTGCTATTTATCATTCTATTTTTTTTTTTTGCAATTTCCCTATTACGGTTTTATTTTTATTTTTTTTTATTATGTCATGTTAGTCACCATACAGTACTTCATTAGTTTTTGATGTAGTGTTCCATGATTCATTATTTGGGTATAACACCCAGTGCTCATTGCAATACGTGCCCTCCTTAATACCCATCCCCAGGCTGACCCATCCCTCCACCCAGTATTTGCTCATTTTATAAGAGGAAGCCAGCATCAGGTAACACAGAGAAGTTATTAATTCCTCACTCTCTTTTGATTGGAAACCCCTAGCAAGAGTTCAATAGCATAAACTATTAATGTAGAGACACCCTAGTTTAAATACAAGGAAGCTTGCCACACGGAGATTAGTTCTCCCAAGATCATGCGGCTAGTGAATGGGGAGGTCAGGAATCAAACCCAAGACCCTATACCCTGACAGTGCCTTGCTCTTTCCACCATTCTGGCATAGAAAGTGTTCCAGTGGGGACCCTGAAAGGCTTATATAAGCTTCACTTCCAGGAACCTGAAATAGGATAATAAGTATTAAAATCATGTGGAATGTTTATGAATCTCCTTAATATGTAAATTTCCTCATTCTATTTAGAGCTTTCTGCATATAGACAAGAGTGCTGTTTGTCCCAAACTGATCTGCACATCACACAGAAAAGTGTAAGAGGAGAGGAAACTTAGTGCTATCCCTACCAGTTGTCTTGATGTTGAAACTGGTTTGATCTGGGTTGCTATTAAATATGCTCCAAAAGCAAACGAACTTGATTCTTTTAGGAAATAAGTGGGATACCATGAGAAATAAGTGAGTACCTGAGAAATATCAAGTCTTTGCAGGGATTATGTAGTCCCAGTGAGGAATTCAAAAACTTGATTGATTCATTTAATACATGTCTATTCAGTGAACTAAACAACTTTGCTACTTCAGAGAAATATCTGCACAACAAATTTAAATTGCTAATCATTTATTTGGCACTCTTACCTAGACAATGCCAGAAAACAATTCAGATTTTTAATATATGGAAATACAAAATTTTTGGTGTATATTTTTGACATCGTTTAGTTTTAGCTTAAGAATATATATAGCATGTTACTCAGCTGTATCATTGTTCAGTAGCGGATATTAAAATTTATAATTTTTTTTATGTACTCTGAAACATTTAACTGAATATTTTATCTTCCTGTACATGCTAGTGACTTTTTAGTCACTTTTTAAAGAGTAAATGATCAATCCCTCCATTCTTACCATCAGTGATTAAAAGTTAATATTTGATAAAGGAACCAAGCAATCTATACTGACATCAGCTGGTTAGATGCTATGGGTGTGGCCACTTAAATAACAGGGATAATCTGGATTTTTTAAACAGCTCATGGGTGAAATAGGTGAAGGTGGTCAAAAGATACAAACTTAAAATTATATGATAAATAAGTCCTGGGTATGTAATGTACAGGAGGGCGAATATAGTTAACAAATCTGTATTGCTTATTTGAAAACTGCTAAGAGTAAATCTTAAGAGTTCTCATCACAAGAAAAAAAAGTAAATGTGATGAATGTTAGCTAAACTTACTGCGGTAATCATTTTGCAATATATACATATATCACATCATTATGTTGTACACCTAAAATTACTACAATGTCATATGCCTATTAAGTCAATTCTTAAAAATAATAAATAAAAAGAAGCTCATTGTCTTATCTTGAGATAAATTTTAAGTGTGTACACCTGATCTGAGATTATAATGAATTTTGAATAGAATCTGAACCTACAGGTTTGAGCAATGAGTCATGTTTTAAGTCAACTTTCAGCTGACTATCACCTAAAGTCTTAGCTGGTCTTGATGGCAGTCTAGCCCGCTGCCGGTCTTTTGTCCTCTGAGATACAGATGGCATATATCAGTGATGCTGTAGGGTTATGTGGGAGACAGTCAAGAAATAGAAGAGTAAAAACAGAATAAAATCTAATTACACGGAGTTTCCCTTAAAACAAAAATTGATTGAGTTCTGCCCAAAGTGGCTTGTTGTTTCCTGTGCCAGGAACTACTGTGCAGGCCCAGCAGGAAGTGTGCTCTGGAGCGGGATCACATTACACCCTTGTTTTATGGTTCATTTCACTTATTTAATGCAATCCGAGAACCTGCAAAGGGAACATGTTAGAAGGAGGGAATGGGCTTTTTGTCTTGTTTGTTTTGGGGTTTTTTTGAGTTTCTTTGAATCAAAACATTTGTTTTTACAAAGTGCTTATAGCCCCACAGAAGCAGGACTTGCAGAGTTGCATGGGGAAGACATTTCTCTTTGTCACAAAATTCAAAGCAAGACATGAAGTTGGGTTATGTCTAGGGTTGAGTTATGTCTGTTTCCTTTGCCGTCCTACTCACATAATTTTAAACGTGAAGGATTACCACCATGCCCATGAATGGTCTAAATCATTTTGAATTCAAAAAACTCCTCCTAGGGTCTCTAATTTGATAGAGAGCCCAAGATGGGCGGGGGCGGGGGGGGGTGCTGGTAAGGAATATGTTTAAGATGCAAAATAGCGGGGGGGGGGTCAAGCAAAAGAATGAGTTCCTTGGGCTGTATTGCTTGAAAATGTGCGAAGGGAACAGCTGGATTCCCTTGTGGTGGCATACACCGCTCCTCACGTGCTGTCTGTTTTCCTCTCCAGAGACCTCAGTATGAACAACATCAGTCAGCTGCTCCCGAATCCCCTGTACAGTCTCCGCTTCCTAGAGGAGTTGTAAGTATCCCCGTAGTAGTGATGCGTCCAGTCAACACGGAGCACGTTCCTGGGTTTGCCCCTCATACTTACTCTGGGAACCAGATAAAACAAGGCAAAAAAGCTGTCAGCACCAACAATTTTGGCACATGAGGAAACACTTAGTTGGGAGGGGAGAAAAAAGGAATTGCCTAAGATTCTGGAAATCAACTTATGAAAGAGTTGACCATGAGGCTACAACTTTCTAAGGTGAGCCTTGAGCCAAACAAATTAAAATTTTAAAACAAAGCCTGTTTAAGAGTGCTGGATGTCTCTTTGGAAATAGTTAAGCAGCAGGATATTGAAAGTTTGAATACCGGTTCATGTTTATTAAAATAGCAAGTAAAGCCATAATCAAAACCAAAAACTGCCGCTTGGTTCAGGTTGTGACAGGGAGAGTGGAGTCCACATTCCGTAGCACCAAAACTTCTTGTCCTAATCACTTTTACTATTTTCCTACTTCTTAATTTAGCTTCCCTCGAGGCTTGAACAGAAAAACATGAAATCCACAGAGGACTTAAAACTGGGCTCTCCCAAACTCACCATAAAAAAAATAAAAAAATAAAAAAAGATGAAGCTAAAATTAGCTAATGATACACAGAGGAATCTTGATTAAGTCTCGTAATCACTTTCCAGAAGATGAAAAAGAATTGTATAATCCAAAAATCTGCATTTAAAAATTCATTTGATCCTCTTACCCTTTGGAGTGATGGAGACTAGGGGAGCCATGTGCCCTCACAGTCCTCATGAAGATAGTTTGGCACCATCCCTTGAGTACATCCTCTGACTGTTGATTAAAGGGATTGTGTAGGCAATGACCTCTTTTGAAAATACTTCTTTTATAAATCCTGAAGTTGGGGTCCTATCTGAGGAGTAATTTAAATGGTTGATGCACTGCGTGATCCACCATGGGAAGTGGGAAGAATGTTCCATCATAACCAAATTACACTGCATCGATCTTTTCCCTTTTCAAGAAGATAATATTCTCAAATTTCTCCCTTTAGGGTTTTATCTATATTTTGGATGGCCTTATATTTTTAGCAAATGTTATTGTCTTACTACTGAAATCAGTTGAATATATGCCCAGGTTGTTATCCAGGAATACGTTGGGGAAGCTCAGAATACGAGGCTGCACAGCAAGTTTTTATCATTCATGTGTTTTCACTCTGGGTTGTCCATGCTCCTCTTTTCCCCTCTTCTCTTTTCTTTCTCGCCATTTCCACAGCTAAAAAGTAATTTTGGTCAGGGCTGAGTCCTTGTCTATCTTAGTCATGGCTTGTATATAATAAGTAATCAATACATTTTTAATGAATGAATGCATCCTGAGAAGGCAAAACACGTAAAAGGAGCTTCTCATCCAAGTTGGCTGCCTTAGAAAAAAGCAACAGACGTGGTAGACATTAGCCAATATTTCTAAAGATTACCTTTAGCAAATTTCAATTAAGGTTTTTTCCTGATTTCCATCCTTCTCATCCTCCCCTCCTCACCATAATTAAAACATGACGCTTAGTCCTATGTACACCCCCACCCCATATTTTGAAGGTATGTATTTGCTGTGCTTTCCTCTGTCGTTTTCTTACACTAACCAATGGCACAAAGCTTCCATTCTGTGTCAACACGCCCCTCACCTTATTTTTTAAAAATTTTTTATTATTATGTTAATCACCATACATTACATCATTAGTTTTTGCTGTAGTATTCCATGATTCATTGTTTGCGTATAACACCCAGTGCTCCATTCGGTAAGTGCCCTCTTTAATACCCATCACCAGGCTAACC